AGGACAAAAAAATAAATAAATAAAAATTTTTTAAAAAATGGAAATGGAAAGAAGCAGTCAGTGCTCTAATTAGCTTTGTCTCCTTTTTTTTCAATTGTTTGTACTTTTTTTTTCTTAATTTCTTATACATTGCTCCAGTTTTTTCTTCTTCCAATTTTATGTGTATATATCTGGTAATGTGAATAGCTGGTTGTAAGACAATACCATGTATTACAACAAATACTGTGAAATTCATATTACTTTGTGAAGTAAAATTCTGTATGAGTTGTCAAAAATTAATTAATTTTTTAAAAAAAGATTGAGGCTATAGGTTTGAGCAGGAAGAAATAAGATGCCATTTTCACCACAGTGTAGCAAGGATGCATACTGTTGACATAATTTGTCACTGTTAATGTTGACCTTAACCACCTCAGTAGTGTCTCTCAGGTGTCTCTAACATAAAGTTACCGTTTTCCCCCTTTCCACACTATACTCTTTGGAAGGAAGCAAGTTCACACAGATCTTACAGAAATGGGGAGTTAAGTTTCATCTTTTTGAGTGTAGAATATATACATACAGTAAGTGGGGACTATCTGACTCACCGGTGCATCCCTGGGGCTGGAACAGTACCTGGCACATAGTAGGAGTGCCATAAATGGAAAAGTAAATGTACAGCTATTATTGCTTTTATCTAAATGCTCCCCTAAAAGCCCTTGCAGTGTCAGGGGAGGGGCTGCTTTTCAGAGGTGACTAGATCTAGATTATGTGGTGCTAGGATCAGTCCACTGATCGGTTTGGCATAGTTCTGGCTAGTATAGAAAATTTACTCACCTGGCTCCTGGTCTGTGCTTCTATAGATGAAGAAAATCAGCTTAGTTTTTTTTGGGGGGGAGGGGGGGGGAAGAATTTGTACTTTAGTAAAGATCCGCCCACCTAGACTTGCTAAGCTGTTTTACCCCTGTTTATTTAGAAAACACCTTATAAAAAGAGTTACTTATTGACTCTTCAGGCTCTAGGCTGAATGCAAGGTTTCTGTTTCATATGTTTCAGGCAGGACCAATAGTGTACAGAGTGAAGCAATCATTGCAGAGCCCCACAGAGTTTCTGTTCTGTTTGTTTAATGAAAGGGAAACTGGTGTCATCCCTTTCCCTATTTTGTGTCAATGGGCTATCATATTTTTCCCCTTAGTAGTAGGGAGATTGGACCCAAGGCCTTCACACTAAGCTATAGCCTCAGTTCTTTTTTGGTATTTTGAGATTGGGTTGCAGTAAGTTGCCCCATGGCACAGCTACAGTATTCTTAAATGAGAGTCAGAAATATCAGCAGATGTGCACATCACAGCTACATGCTTTCTTCCAGGAAGACCCACAAGTGGGCAAATAAATAGCATATTTATATTAAGGAAATATAAAATGAATCCATAATAAGACACAACCTAACACCCACTAGGACATTAGTGGCAAACCTTTGGCATGCATGCCAAAGCCAACTGTTTCTTATCATTGAAATCTCGTAAAAGGTTTACCATCTATATGTGAAGATCAAGAAGGTGAACAGTACAAGTATTAGCAAGAATATGGGAAAAGTGAATTCTTCACATACTGCTGTGGGAATATAAAACAATGCAGCCAGTTTGGTGACTGTTTCTCAAGAGGCAATTACTTCTCTGGGATTTCATATGTGGTGGTTCACATTTGTAATCCCAGCACTCACTAGGCTGAGGCAGCACGATTGCAAGTTTGAGGCCAGCCTGGGCTACATAGTAAGTTGAGGGGTGGCCTGAACTGTATGTAGCAAGATCCTGTCTCGAAAACAAAACAGGCCATCAAGTTAACTCGGGGACTAAGCACCTGCTTAGGCAAGCACAGGGACTGGGGTTCAATCCCCTATACCTTATGCTGAGCTGGCCCTGCCCCCAGACCCGCTGAGCCAGCCACCAAATCCATTATAATCCCAATACCGGGGAGACTAAAAACAGGAGGATCACTACAAGTCCAAGCTACATAATGAGACCCTGTAAGAAGTACATCGAAAGAAAAACAGCAAAACAAAAAAGTAGTTACCATATGGCCCAGCAATTCCACTTCTAGATATAAACTCAAGAGATATAAAATCATAACTGTAGCTGGGTATGGTAGTGTATGCCTATAATCCCAGCCCTTGAGATGCTAAAGCAGAAGGATTGGTACAAGTTTGAGGCCTGTCTAGAATCGAAACCCTGTCTCAAAACACACACACAAAAAAACCTTCTCTAAGTAAATGTTCATAGCATTACCCAAGATAGCCCAAGGGTAGAAATGGCCTAAATGTCCTCCAATATTGAATAAATAAATAAAATATGGCATACCTATATTACAGAATATTATTCAGCAGTAAAAAGCATGAATGAACCTCGAAAAGCTTCTGCAGAATAAAAGTCAGACAGACATAAAAGACCACATATTGTATGATTCCATTTATATGAAATACATAGAATAGATAAATCCATAGACAGAATAGTGGAATGGGGAATGAAGAATGACTTACTAATGAATGTGGGATTTCCTTTGGGGATAATGAGAATACTCTGGAATTGGTGATTTTACAGCCTCATAATTACACTAAAACCCATACATTCTGTACTTTAAAGGAGTAGATTTTATGGTATGTAAATTATACAGCTTTTTAAAACTCACCATTAGGAATATCATCCCCACTGGGATAATTAAAAACCAAAGACTAATAACAAATATTGATAAGGGTATGGAATTGGAACTTTCATTCTATCAGTGGCATTGTAAAATGGTACAGACACTTTGGAGCAGTTTGGCAGTTCCTCAAATGTTTTTAAATTCAGTGTTACCATATAACTCATCAGTCCCATGCCAGTGTGTTTACCCAAGAGAAGTAAAAACATTGACATACAGCTGAGAGAGAAAAGTTCATAGCTTCATTTATAATGGCTGAATACTGGAAACAGTGAAATACTACTGAAAAACAAAAAGAATAAAAAGAAACTACTGATTTCATGGATGAGCTTCAAAAATCTCATTTTGAGTGGAAGCCAAAAGCAAAACCTCTATTTTCTATTATTCTATTTCTATGAAGTTTCTAGAGAATACAAACTAAAACCTTGTCAGTGGTTGCTGAGTTGGGGTGGGGGCAGTTGACAACAAATGAGCATGTTGTGGTGATGGAAGATATTCTAAATACGGATTATGGTGAGTAATGGCACAGTTGTTAAAATTGACTAAGACCCATTGAGTTGTACACTAAAATGGGTGGATTTTATAGTACGTAAATTACACCTCAAGACTCAGCAGTTTTAAACTCTGGATATATTTAAATCAGAAAACATTCTCTCTCTCTCTCTCTCTCTCTCTCTCTCTCTCTCTCTCTCTCTCTCTCTCTCT